GGGAGTGGTGATGTAAGGGCAAGGCCCCACCCACCTAAGTTTCCAACTTGTGAAAAGGAACTAAAGGAAAATTTAGAGCCAGATGTGGTCATGCACACCTTTGAGTCTAGCACTTGGAAGGCAGAGGCTGGTGAATCTCTGAGTTTGAGCCTCACCTGGTCTAGAGATCCAGTTTCAGGACAGCCAAGCTTAGGCAGTGTCTTAGTTAGGGTTTCTATTGCAGTGAAAATACACCATGACCACGGCAACTCTTCTGAAGGAAACATTTAATTGTGGTGGCCTGCTTACAGTTTCAGAGGTTCAGTCAATTATCATCAGGGTGGGCAGCATGGCAGCCTGCAGGCAGATGTGGTGCTAGAGCTGAGAGTGCAGCACCTTGATTCACAGGCAACAGGAAGTCAACTGATTGTCACACCGAGTGAAGCCTGAGGAAAAGATCTCAAAGCCTGCCCCACGGTGACACATGACACACTTGCACCACAAGGCGTGGCACAGACAAAAGGCAGGTCATCCAGCCTCCTCCAACAAGGCCACACCTACTCATAGTGCTACTCCCTATGAATTTATAGGGACCAAATACATTCAAACTACCATAGCTGGTGAAGATGTAATTGAATGTGGGGGTCATATTCCAGCCCTAGTAAGCAGCAGAACTTGGTAGCTTTGGCTTTAGAGTGAAACGGTTAAAGATAAAATAAACCTCAGCAACTTTCTCAGAGTAGAACAACTCCACCTTGACCTCCAAGTTACCCAGTTCTACCTTGTTCCAAGGAATTTTAAAAAACTCCAGACAACTTTCGGAAAAGTGAAAAAGTCACAGTGCAACCCAGAAACCATAGAATGTTTCCTCCCTATGTCAACCTATGAAAATATGTAAAATAACAGGTTGTACTACAAAAAATATGAATTCCCCTGACCCCCATGTTAATGAATCCAAAGGTCACCTACTCTTATCCAAACCTGAACAGCCAAGGCACGTACTACCCTGCTTGTGGCTTTTTCCTTTAAAAACCCCTTGCAATTGAGGCCAGGCAACCTTTTCCTGCAGCTGCTGTGCCAGTTTGCTGGACAGGGTCCCTACCGAAGCTTGTAACTTAACCTTAAACCTTGTGCATTTGCATCAGTGAGTCGGCTCCTTGGTGATTCTTTTGGAGTCTCACAAACTTGGCATAACAAGAGTTAAGGATAGAAAAAGAAAAATGGGTTATGGAATTTGCCCCAGTGCGTACAGAAAGCCACTGAGGCCTGGGATGTGTCAGAGGGGTCCCTGAATAGAGGCCTAGTAGAGAGGCCATTGTGAGAAGCCTGGGTTGCCTTGGAGACCCCAAGACATCAGAGATGCCAGAGTCATGGGATACCTGCCGAGGAGAGCTGCTAACAGTGAGTGGAACCAGCCCAAGAGAAAGAAGTGTGTTGCAGTCAACAAAGCTCAACAGAGTTGGAGATTTGAAGATTGTTTTAAAATCAGACATGGAGATGCAGAGTTTGGAGTTTTGGCCAAATGGTTTTCGGTCTTGCTTTGGTTCACTCTTTCCTCACTATGCTTCCTTCCCTGTGTTTTGGAATGGTAACGTATATCCTGTCACATTATATGTTGGATGTATGTGGTCTGTGGTTTTCTTTTTTTTTTTTCCCCCCAGGGAATTCCAGTTAAGAGATTGCATGAATCTCAGAAGCTAGTGGAACTGGAATTTTAAACATTGTTGAGACTGTGATAGACTATGGGGACTTTTGAAGTTAGACTAAACATGTTTTGCATTATGACAGTGTTACAAGCTTATGGGGGCCAAAGAGTAGAATGTGGTAGGTAGTTTGATGTAATTGGCCCCATAAACTCATAGTGAGTGGCACTATTAGGTGTGGCTTTGTAGGAGGGTGTCAGAACTGGAGTTACAGGTGTTTGTGGCCTGCTGTGTGGGTGCTGGGAATTGAAGATGGGTCTTCTGGAAGAACAGTCAGTGCTATTAACCACTGAGCTACCTCTCTAGCTTCTTAAATTATTTTATCAATGGGACTAAGAACCCAAAATCGGAACCCCAAGATCCTGACAACATTCTTTTACTGCCTTTTAATTCTTTAATGAGCAGGGAAAACAAACAAAACCTACAGGGCAACTTATAACTACCTGTGACTCCAGGTGTATCTCCAGGGAGTTCCAGGATAGCAGAGTTACACAGGGAGACCATGTCTCGAAAAAACAAAAACCGAAAAGAAAAAAATCCTGTGTGTGTGTTCTTAGGCCCCAGCACACATGTAGAAGGGTAAGGACAACTTTCAGGAGTTGGTTCTCTCCATTATGTGGATCCAGAGATGAAAGACAGCATGTTGGGCCTGGAAGCAGGTGCCTTTACCCATTGAGCTTTCTCACCAATCTGAGCCTTCTGACTTTGAGACAGCAAATTTCTTTAAATGACAAAAGATTTAAGTGCTTCAAGCCCATAGACCAAAAGGTCTCTGTCGCACAGTTCAAATAGCACCCCCCAAAACACAAATGAGTGTCCCAACTGTGTTACAGCTCTGAGGGGGAGCCAAGTCACACCACACAACAAACCTCACACGAGACACTGGAAAAGAACCCAGAAGGGGCATGGCCTCTGCTCAGGTGAGAAGCCCACAGAAGACAGGGTTATAGAGGCTTTCTGTGGTTCCAGGGTGGTGATTTCTAGGGTGGAGATTGGTAGATTTTCAGGTCCTGAGTCTGGGGTTTTTATTCTGTAGGGCAGAGCTTGGCTGCCTATGTCTGGAGGAGTGGGGCCTGGCCACTTATATACCTCCAGGAGCTTACACCAATCAAGCATTTATGAACAAGAACATCTGAATTTTATGCCATAAACTATTGTTTGTTTTCTATTCACTTAAAAGTATCAAAATCTGGGCTGGAGAGATGGTTCAGCCAGTTAAGTGTACTAGTTGCTCTTCCAGAGGACCCAGGTTCAATTCCCAGCATCCACATGGCAGCTCACAACTGTCTTATAACTGGAGTTCCAAAGGATCTGACACCTTCACACCAATGCACATAAAATAAACTTAAATAAATTAAAAAATAAACATGAAAATCTTAGCCAGGTGGTAGTGACCCACACCTTTAATGCCAGCACTTGGGAGGCAGAGGTAGGCAGATCTCCATTACTTAGAAGTCAGCTTGGTCTACAGAGGAAGTTTCTGGACAGCCAGGGCTACATAGAGAAACCCTGTCCCAGAAAAATAAAATAAAATAAACAAACAAATCATACAGAGGACTGGGAGATGGATAGCTTCTTTGGTAAAGTCATTGCAATGCAAGCATAGGTACCCAAACTATCTTATCCACGGATCTTATGAACCATTTAAGAAGCTGGTGGTGTGTGCTTGAAGTCCCACCACAAGTGAAGGAGAAAAAGGTGGCTTGGGGTTTGCTGTTGAATTCCAGGCCAGTGAGAGACAAGGTAGACTGTGCTTAAGGAACAACACCCGATGGTCATTTCTGACACCGCCACCCCCCCCCCCAGCCCTTCACACATACACACACCCAAAGAAAAAGACTTATTCAGGCAAAGTAGAAATTTTTACTAAAGTGATACACTGTACACTTAAAATTACACACACAAGGAGAAAGGGAAATTAAAACGCACCACTATCTTTTTTTGACTTGTTACATGAATGAACTCCAGGCCTCTTCCACAGAATCAGGAAAAACAATTCACGAGGTCACTCTAGTGGTGCTAAGTTATAAGTCAGTACATGTTAGAAGGGAGGAGAATGCACTTATTTCAGTAGCACACTTAGCATATAGCTGACTTAATGTTCCAAATGTCACCTTTGTTTAAGTCTGTCTTGCTGTCCTTACATGTCAAGGGTATATTCACTGGTCTGCTCCACGACACCAGAAGTCCATTCCACTCCCCTGCCACCTCCCTGCCACTAACTTCCCTAAGCCAGAGTGTAAGGCCAGTTCCTTTCTCTCCCTACCACAGCTATTGATTCTTTTGAGAAAAGATCTCATCCCGAACCTCGAACTCAAGGCAATCCTCCTGCCTCCTAAAAATGCTGTGAGTACAGGTGTCAGCCAGCAGATCTGGTCACCATTATCATGTGATAAGGGTTCTGGATCATCCTTAGGTCCTTTGTTTTCTTCGACGCAAAAACAACCCTGCTTCATAAGGCAGCGCCGGCACCAGGAGGGCCCTAGCAGACCATAGCATGAATCTGCAGAACACAACAAAATGGCAGAGGTCCTCTAATGATTCAGATGCTAAACATTAAAAGGAAGACAGGTTTCACATTCATGGAGCTAAAGATTGGAAAGGAGAGAGATTGGCTTCATTAATTTAACAAACAGAGGAAGGCGCACGGAATGTTTCTTTGCTTTAAGTCGGCTAAATCACTGACACTTGCTGCTGATGAAAGATGTTCTCAGGTGTTAATTTCTTGGGGTTGAGGTATAATAATTAATTCCACAAGGCTATGCCTGATGCTGATAAAAAGCAATAGTTAATGACACATGGAAGGTTTTATAGAAAAGCTGAAAACAATTATGAGTGGAAAAACATATGGGTTTGTCTCTTTATATTGTTTGAGATAGGGTCTTGGTATACAGCCCTAGCTGGCCTTGAACTCACAGAAGTCCACCATAGTCAGATCTTCGTATCTAGACACAGATGGACACTGGCACTCCTTTTTGCCTGTGGTGGCTGTATTTTCAGAAAGGTTGGGTATTTTGTGATAGGAGTGTGTACAAGTTGCTACATGAACAGTAATCATGCTGTCACCACTTTGTTTCTCTCCCCAATGGGAGAGATCAACCCAGGGCCCCAAGGAGGTCAGGTATTTGACCACTGAGCCACACCCACAGCCCCCATGCTTGCTCCAGATGTTAAAGAAAGGATCCCAAAATGGCACATGAGCCATGTTTTAAGGCAAAAAGGCACTGGCATTTTAGTTTGCAATACCTTATCAGTAAAAAACAGTCCATTTTACCATCTTTAAAATATGTGAATTTGATTTTAAAAAGTCAAGTACTCTATTGCTTCAATGATTTTATTGGAAGTACCAACACAAGGAAAAATTGTAGAAATCAATTTTAATTAATGCTTCTAAATATTTTCTTTTGGAAGATGAAGGGAATGGACATGCCTAGCTAGCTAAAACGGTACCTGGAGTGCTTCTTGGTCAAGTTGTCTTACAGAAGGCTAGTATCATGTGTGACTGTAAGTCCTCAAACTAGGTGGGTACTTTGTAGAAACACAGAGAATGGATGGGGGTTCTCCAGGTACCAAATAAACACTGTCATGGTACTTATTCCAGAGGCAGAGGGCTCAGTGGAGAGGCTTTTGTTTGTGTGATACTCAAGGCTCACAAACACCACAGGGGTTCCCTATCAACTTTCTCAGTGACCTTGAGCCAGTGGAGAAAATCTGTCCCCACCAGAGATGGAAAGTATGAGATGACAGTAGGTGGGGAAGAAGGGCTCATCTAATTCCCACACATTTTCAGGTGTCATGTCCAACAGTTCTGTTCTGAGTCCTTCTACTGAAATACAGGACAAGAATAAGGACAGGAGGGGAGAGTAATGAAGGCAACACATTCCATTTCTGGATGTGACATGGCATCTTTTCAGGGGGAGAAAGCTACAATGTGCTCAGTGTGTGTGTGTGTGTGTAGGCATGTCCACAATGATTGACATATAAAGATGTGGAAGGACCCTTTCCTCTGCCACAAACCAGGGTCCCTTCACATCTGAATTTACAGTAAGGCCTTGGAGTGAGAAACACAGCAATGGAGTAAATTAGAAGGCAGTAGTTACCACAATGACATCCTGTCCGCATCTTTCCATATACTCACGAAAGAAAAAAATGCAGTTCTCTTCTCCTTCCTGCACAGTAATCAAAAGCTCAAGGCATTCACAATCAGTCTGCTGTGGTTATTCTACCACTCGACAGACAGCTCACAGAACTTTAGAGGTGTTGATCTTACCCAAATGTGTAACACACATTTTTTTTTCCTCATTGAAACTAAAATTTCTTAAGACCCACATTTGAACACACACGTTAAATTACATACTGTATAATCAATGACATTTCTTAGGAGTTTAAAAGAGGCTTTTGAATCTTTTCATCACAACGGAGTAGAATTCCTTTGCAGTTTCTTTAGAGCTGCCGAACTTTTTTTTCTGTGCTTTTTATATTAACATCTAACTTGTCCACTTTGGTTGTTAGCCGGTCAAGAATGTCATCCTGCTCCTCAATTTCCGTCTGCATTCCTAAGGCTATGTCCTTGAGTCGGCCCAATCCCATGGACAGCTCATCTGTAAGAAGGAAGTGATAGGTGGTCACAGTATCTACAGGGGTTTCCTGCCCCCACAGATGCTCAGTGGCAGAGACCTGTCTAAGACCAAGTGCCATAGCCTGTAGCATATGACTCAAAAGACAAAGAAGTACTTACTACATAGTAATATGTGGTTAATGTAGGTAAAAGCTACTGTCTACCTCCTCCCTATAGATAACCATGGTTAATTTGTTTGTTTGTTTTAGCATAGTTTTGATAGATAGTTCTGGCTGTCTTGAAAGTTACTATGTGATCCAGGCTGGCCTTGAAGTCACAGTGATCTCCCTGCTTCTGATGCCTGAGAAGAGTACTGGGTCACTACCACACACAGCCTTTCTCCCCTCAGTGCAGGAGAATCAAACCTGGGACTGCATGTGCTAGGGAAGCATTCTGACACTGAGTCACATCCCCAGACTCTGTATTTTTCATTTCGAGACAGGGTCTTACAAATTTTCCAGCTGGCCCTGGATTTGTAACCCTCCTATCTTAGTCACAGGTAGCTGGGATTACAGGTGTTTGTCTGGCATACTATGTATGCTTCTTGAGGTCTTTGAAACTTGTGATCTTGTGTTTCCTGAAAAGTAAAAGTTTACAGACCTCAGAAAGCTTCTTGGGTTTGAGGACAGTAAGAACAGGGGGAAAAAAAAAGGCTCAGATAAACCAGCCTGGTAAGTTGTGGGACATACCTCTGTGGGTATAAGCACTTGCTGGGCAAGCATGAGATCTGAGTTCAGCTCCTTTACCCTCATGTAAGCCATGTGGCTTTATCCTGGATGCTCGTAAGTCCCATGGATGCCTAGGTCTCATCAGGAGTCAAGTAAGCAGTGAGGATGGCTTGGCTGGACTGACAGCGAGAAATGGAGAGAAGTGGACAGATTCCTGGGAGAGTGAGGCAGTAGGATGGACATGACTGTGGGGTGTGACATGGACAGGAAGCAATGAAGTGGCAGGGCCGGGTGCCTTGGTTGTGCTCAGCACCAACTGTCTGGAGGCTGCCGCAGCTCCCAAACTCACCTAGGTTGCTGTCAATCTTCTGGTGATAGGCTCGAAGGCTTGAGTTCTTTGGGTAAACCTCAGCAGTCACAGCAGAAGCAGGCCCTTTGGGGATCGGGTCTAGTCCAGAAAGAAACACCAGAGGGATAGTTTGCTGAAGGTTGCTGCTCCATGAAATGGGCCCATTCTTTTCTGATGTCCTAGAAATCTGTCCCCAGGAATCATTCATATCAGGAAAGAACTAAAGGAGTGGGAGGATGGCCATGCAGAGGGACAGGATTATAGGCTGGAGAATCAAGTCTGATTTCTGGCTGGTCCTTCAACATTAGCAGATTAAGGACTCTCAATTTACAAGTCAACAGGCCTTGCTATGTTGCACAAGCTTACCTCAAACTCTTGTACTCAAGTTATTCCTATAATAGCTGGGACTACAGGTGCATGCTACAACACCTGGCAGAGCTAACAGAGACAGGTTTAAAATTCAAAGCTGTTAAACTATGTGTACATGCCTGTAATCTAGCAGACAGAGCAAGAAGATCAGAATTTTAAGGTCATCTTCTACCAATGAATTTAAATGAGACTCAGTCTCAAAAGAAACAAAATCACATCAAACCATACAAAACATGAAACAAAGCAAAGATGAAAACCGTTGCCTGGTGTGGTGGTTTGCAGCTGAAATCCCAGCACTTGGGAGGCTAAGGCAGCGGGACCATGAATTCAGAGCCAGTCAGGGCTAAATAGTAGATAATTTCAAAGACACAAAAGGAAATGGAGTTATGCTACAAAATTGAGCTTACTATTTTTGTTTCTGCTGTGCCATGGTGAAGCACACCTTTAATCCCAGAACTCCAAAGGCAGATGCAGGAGGATCTCTGAGTTTGAGGCCAGCCTGGTCTACATAGTTCCAGGACAGCCAGGGCTACACAGAGAAAGAAACCCTGTCTCAAATAAACTAAAGGAAGAAATTCCATTTCTAAACATATATAGAAATATCCCCCCCTCCTCTTTTAAGGCAGAGTCTTGTGTACTCAGTGGGCTTGAATTCGGCATGTAAGTATATAGTTGGGGTGGTGCTTAACTACTGATTCTTCTGCCTTCATCACAAGTGCTGGAATTATAGTTGTGTGCTATCACACCTAGCCTTTTCTTCCTTCCTTTCTTTTCTTTTCGTTTCTTTTGAGACAGGGTGCTCACTGTATTCTAGTCTGGATTTGAACTCATGGTAATCCTTTGCCGCAGTCTCCCAAGTGACTAAAACACCTGCATTTTTGTTTTCTTGGTTTTGGTTTTCTGATAATCTGGCTATATAATCTAGAATGGCCCCAAAGTCAAACTCACAATTTCCCTGCCTTAGCTTCCCAAGTGCTGGGACTACCTGGACCCAACATGATACCACAGAATAAATTCTCTTATCTCAGGAGGACAGCTGATTAGCCATCCTAGTTATGTATAAAACCATGTTCTTTGCTTTTAACATGCTCATGAACCCTAGGTGGAGGAAAACATTTCTAAGAGCCATTTTACTTAGAACAGGGATTTTTTTGTTTGTTTGTTTGTTTAGGTTTTTGTTTGTTTTGGAGAGGTTTCCTCTTGTTTGGGGAGGCAGTCTTAAATATCCCAGGCTGGCCACAAGCTCAACATGCAACTTAACCTGTGACTGGCCTACCTCTACTTACCAAGTACTGGGATTATAGGTGTGTTCTATCATTCCCAGCTTTACAGTTAGCTTTTTTACTACTACAATTTTTCAGAGCTACACCAGTAGACAGTTCTTGGTGAATAGGATGCAGGTTCCTACTTCCCTAATCACACTCCATAGGGAAATGAGGTAAGGAGAAACCCCACTGTAATACACACCTCTGGTTCCCCAAGAACATCTTGTGTCCCTGAGGTCATCACTTGGTATGTGGGATGCCTTTGCACATCACTGTAGAGAGATGGCTGTCCCCTGCATTGGTACTTCAGGGTTAAACCCAGACACCCACCCCACAAGAATCCAAACCTGAGTTTTCACACACATTGTCACTCACCTTCATCATGCAGCCTTCTGAGATTTGGGTGGCTGGCTTGGTACTTGCTTTCCTGATCTTTACTTGTATTTATGGCTTCCTTCAATCTATAGATGAAAGGAAAACACATGACAGTGTTACTTCTGTGAGTGTGCTCAGCAGAGTTACTCATCTTTTCCACGATGGCTTTGTGCCACATATGCAATGCTTTGCTTTGCTGGCCTCTCTGGAATCAACCTGGGAGTGGTGCTGGCCACACAGTGGGCTGAGGAAACTACTCAGGACAGGGAGTCCTGGGCCAGATGAATGAAAAGCTCAGGAACTGACCAAGTGGGTACCTTTGATAAAGGATCAGCAAATTATGATCCACTATCTATTTTCCTTACCCCCCCCCCTTTTTTTTTATAGTCCAGGCTAGCTTCAACCTCAACATATAGCTACTGAAGATCACCTTAAATTCCTGATCTTCCTGCCTCCACCTCCTAAGTGCTGGGATTACACCTCACCTGGCCCCACAATTCTTTTATTGTGATTACACATAACATAAAAATCCATCACTTACATATAGCCATAAATAAAGAATGGCTTTTACATATGGCTACTTGCCCTGAAAGATGTCAACTTAGATACTTAAGTCTTTAAAAACAACAACAACAAACAAGCAAACCCAGAGTCTCATGGCTGGAGAGATGGCTCAGCAGCTAAAAGCACTGACTTCTTTTCCAGAGGATACAAGTTGAAATCTAAGCACCTACATTTGGGAAGCTCATAACCACCTGAAACTCTAACTCCACGGGATCTGTGGGTACCCACACACATGTGACAGACACACATAGAGACACAAACTCAAACAAAATGAAAAAACTTAATTAAACACACACAAAACAGGGTCTTTTTATTTTATTTGCATTGGTGTAAGAGTGTCAGATCCCCTGGAACTGGAGTTACAGACAGTTGTGAGCTGCCATGACAGTGCTGGGAAATGAACCCAGTTCTCTGGAAGAGCAGCCAGTGCTCTTAGCCACTGAGCTATCTCTCTAGCCCCCCCAAACAGGGTCTTATATATCCTAGGCTGGCCTTAAAATGCCGATACAGAACTACCTACTGGGATTGCTGGTATGAATCACCCAGGCCAGCTAGTATTTCTCCCTTTCTCCTTTTGTAGCTGCTTGTTTTCTTTTTGTGGGGCTGGAGAGATGGCTCAGTGGTTAGGAGCACTTGTTACTCTTGCAGAACTGAGTTTGCTTCCCAGAACTCACATGGTGAATCAGTGCCATCTGTAAATCTTGTAATGGTGGCACATGCTTGTATTCCTGGCACTTTTTAGGAGATGGCAGGAGAAGGGTCAGGAATTCAAAGCTGGCCTTGACTACCATGTCAGTTTGAGCCAACTGGGGCTAATATGAGACTCACTCACATAGCCATCAAAAGAATTTCTTTGGGGGGAGGGAGGGAGGCAGAGCAGGAGAGGGAGAGAAAGAAGGGGAGATAGAGAAAAATAGGAGGAGAGTACTTTTTGGGAATGAAGAAATATAGCTCTGTGGAGTTACTAGCTCAAAACAACCATGAGATGGGTGCAGGCACCTGGCAAATGCACTCGTGGCAAATGTCCAGCAGACCCTTCCATCCCCAGTGCTGCAGAAGCTTCTGACTAAGCTCTCACTGGTCAGAGACCTGCAAGTGTTCAGAGGCTGGCTGAAGACCATGAAGAGTGAGAAAACTGCCCAGTACAGGGATTATTCCCACGTGTCTGTCTCTGCAGTGGAGACTTAGGCCAGGGTATCCAGACTGCTAGGCAAGCACCGTGCTAACAACCCCAACCCATAGATCCATGCTTTTCTACTAAAACTATTTCAAACTCTGCGCGGGGGGATCAGGAGCTCAAGTTTATCTTCAACTAAATGGTGAGTTCAAAACCAGCCTTGGTTACCTATGACTGTTTCACAAAAAATAAGACAAAGCAAGGACCTGTGAGAGATGGCTTGGCAGGTAAAGATTTGCCACTAAATGAAACAACCTGAGTCCAATCTTCAGGACACACATGGAGGAAGAAAAGAATGAATTCCTGCACATGGCTGTGGCTTGTAACCCCTCCCCCCAACAAACACACAGAATTAAAAAAAAAAAATGAAAAAAAAAAAAAAAACCACTTTAAAACAAAACAACATAAAACTAAAATGTCCTGAGGTATGAATAAAGGTCACTGATTTTAACAAATACCCAATACTTTATTTATTTATTTATTTATTTATTTATTTATTTATTTTTTGTTTCTCTGTAGGTTTGGAGCCTGGCTGGCCTCAAACTCACAGAGATCTGCCTGCCTCTGCCTCCCAAGTGCTGGGACTAAAGGCGTGAGCCACCACAGCCTGTCTAACAAATACCCAATTCTTGTATATATATACTTTTAATGTATACAGTGGTCTGGCTGCATGTGTGTCTGCAGGCCAGAAAAGGGCACCAGAATTACAGATGGTTTCAAGCCACCATGTTACTGGGAACTGAACTCTAGAAGAGAAGCCAGTGCTCTCTCTGAACCTTTGAGCCTTCTCTCCAGCCCCTTTTGTATTTTTTTAAAGATGATTTTATGTGCATGAGTGTTTGCCTGCATGCATGTCCGTGCAGTATGTTTGTACCTGGTGCTCAGAGGTCAGAGAAGGACACTGAATTCCTGGAATTGTTTTACAGATGGCTGTGAGCCACCTCGTGGGTGCTGGCAACTGAACCCATCCCTCTAGTCCTGCCTTGTCTTTGAACATGTGCGGAAGTCTGCTAAGTCCTTATTTCACTGTATTTCTGCCCAAAAATTTTGAGGTAAATGACCTGTAATTTAAAAGTGGAGATTAATAGACAGATTAGGTTAGATATAGAGGAGATGCGCACTCATATGTATGACTCATTTTTTTCTTTTTTGTAGTGGTGGTGGTGGGGATGGAATTTTGGACTTCACACAAGCTAGGCAAGTCTTTTACCAATATGCCACATCACCAGCCCATATATGTATATGTATGTATATGGTATATTGATTACATTTATTTTGTGTTGTAAATAAATGTAGAGATTGGAGGAAAAGCTGTTGAAGTTTGTTCTCTCTTCCACCATGTGGAGGTTCAGGGATTGAACTCGGGTGATCAGGCTTGGTAGCAAGTGCCTTCACCTGGTGAACCATCTTGTCAACCCAACTATATATATATTTATTTGTTTCTTTAGTTTTGTTTTTTAAGACTGGTTTCATGGCTGGTGTTCCTGCCTTAGCTTCCAGAGCTGATCTGATCTGGCTAAATTGCCTAAGGTTGCCCTGTACTTAACATCTACCTGACCCAGCCTCTTCCGACAGCCACACAGGCCCACTATGTCTGATTTAGGGACATTCTGTAAGAGGAGTCACATTTATATTAACTACACTCTCTAAGACTGAAGCTACAATGACTGGATAGGATTTCATTAATTAGGTGAACACAGAGTAAGGACAAGGCTTCTCTTTCAGCATGTCTGAAGTAAGTCCCTTTCCGCAAGTGACCACAGGGCTCCAGGATACCTCGAAGGTACAACAAAGCCTGAAAGCTTGGCTCCTTCCACAGAACCTGTTTCTACTGTTTTATATGTCCAAACTGTGGTTGTTACACTCACCTACTATTGGGCTGCGGGACAATGCTGCCATTTTGTTCAGATGGAGTCTCTACTGGCTTGGATTTGAAGTAGTTGATAAATCCTCCAAACACACTCTTAATACTGTTGATATGTTTCTGGCTCATCTTCAAATCTTGATCCATCTTGTCTACCATCTTTTCCGTGTGTTCTAGGACTCCTCGCTGCCGGACCAGCTCCTGCAGAAGGCAAAAGGCAATAGCATCATGCCATTTCCCCACTTTCAAAATCATAGTAAATTAAAGTCTGGGGCTGGGAATGTAGCTTGGCTGGGTAGAGTGCTTATCTGGCATGTACAAAATCCTGGGTTGGATCCTTAGCACTCCATCAACCAGGCATGGTAATGTAATCCCACTAATTGGGAGGTGGAGGTAGGAGGATTAATTTAATGTTAAATTTAGCTATAGAGTGACTTTGAGGCATGATTGGGCCAGGTGACATCCAGTCTTAAAAAAGTCTAGGTGGGCTGGTGTGACTTTTAGGCAGGTTTGTGCTTTGTCTGGTTTTCCATAGGGCCAGGGCTGCTTTGGTCCTTTTCTAAAGGACTAGCAAACAAAGAAACAGGCTTCCCTGTGACATTCCTCACCCCAGACTTGTAGGCCAGCCAAAGCTACATAGAGAGATCTTTTTTTTTTTTTTAAGTTTAAAATTACTTATTATTTTGGCTAAAGAATGGGGGTCACTCGTGGAGGTCAGATGATGACTTGAGAGAAGTCACACTTCTCTCCTTTTACTGTGTAGGTCCTGAGGATGGAACTTAAGTTATCAGGATTGGCAGCATGCATCTTTGATGGGAGATGTCATTCTGTAAATAAGTTTCTCATACTGGTTAATGAATAAAGCACTGTTGGCCAATAGGAAAGCAAGAGAGGAGGAGACAAGGAGGAAAGAGGATGGAGTAAAGAGAGTCAAGATGGAGAGTCTGGAGAGAATAGGATGCCAGCAGGCTCTCCAGTAAGAGCACGTGAAATACATAGATCAACAGAAATGGGTTAATAATTAAGACAGAGCTAGCCGATAAGAAACTAGTACCTGGCCAACAGCATTATATCAAATACAGAGTCTCGGTGTGTTAATTGGGGCTGGCGCAGTGGTGGGACAAGACCAGTGGCGGGCAGAAAAACCTTACTCCTTACACATCTTTAAGAATTGGTCCAGCCCACTGGCCCATTTTCTTTTTCTTTTTTTCTTTTTTCTTTTTTGGTTATTCTGAGACAAAGTTTCTCTGTGTAACAGCTATGGCTTTCCTGGAACTCCTTCTGTAGACCAGGCTGGCCTCGAACTCACAGAGATCCACCTGTCTCTGCCTACTGAGTGCTAAGATTAAAGGCCAGTAATGTGATTTAATAAGGATCAGGAAAAACAAATAGGCTGAGTAGATGTTTATTCAGGGAGAAATAACTTACAACAGAGATAGATGAACATCAGCAGGTTCCTGGTCCTAAGGATGCTTCTGGATGCTCTTCTGTCTCCATGGGGCCCCCCTCCCCAGACCTAGTTTCCCCAGGTAACTACTACCCCTGTCCCCACCCCCAATGGGCGTGGTCAGTGCCACAGGTGTGGACAAAGTGAATATCTCACAGTAGGCCAGCACCACCATCTTGAAGCCACACTATTTTCATACACTTTTGATCAACTTCCCTGCTTGCCTCCATCCTGCGGTACCCCAAAGTGACCCCACCCATTCCTCCTTCCACTTAGACATCACATGTTCCAGGATCCTCCCCACTTATTTTAAAGCTACCCCTCCTCAGCCCATGCTATGGGCTTTTCAAGTTTCATGGACTCTGCAGGACTTGTTCCCCCTTAAATAGACACGTTTTTACTTGTAGTGTGGTGTACACTTTAACCCCAACACTCAGGAGGCAGAGACAGTCAGCTCAATCCAGGTCAGCCAGAGCTACACAGACAGACCCTGTCTCAAAAACAAAAACAAACACACAAACAACAAAACAACCAATCAAACAAGGGGGGAGGGGAGGAAGAGAAAAAGGAAGCCAGGATTTGTTTATGATTGAGAACATGTGAGATGTTTGTCTTTCTGAGCCTGGATTACCACATTTAATGTAATATTTTTCTAATTTCATATTATTTTCCTACAAATTTCATAAGTTCTCTACGGTTGAATAAAATTTCACTATGCATATGTACCACATTTTCAGGACATTTATCCATTAGGAATTTTTTAGATTTATTTTATTCTTATGAGTGTTTTGCCTGAATGCATATATATGCACCATATATGTTCCTGTTGCCTATAGAGATAAGAAAAGGGTATCAGAGCCCCTGGAACTGGAGTTATGGATGGCTATGAGCAACTATGTACATGCTGGGAACTGAACCTGAGTCTTCTACAAGAGCAACAAGTACTCTTAACTTCTAAGCAAACTCATCAGCTCTACTTATACCCATGCCTTTGTTATTTCGAAAAGAACAGAAATAAACATGGAGATACACCCAGGAACATACAGCTAGACCACATTCTAGTTCTAGTTTTTGTGGAGGATCTCTACACTGACCCTGTAGTAGCTATTTCACTTAGTTACACTCCCACCAACAGCGAATAGCATTCCTTTCTCCCACATCTTGCCAGCATTTATTGTAATTTGTCTTTATGATAATAGCCATTCTGATTTCAGATTGAATCTCAAAGTAGTTTTCATCTACATCTCCTTTGACGCCTAAGATATTGAAGTCTGAGCTAGATAAGATAGCTTGGTGGTTAAGAACATTGCTCTTGCAGAAGAGGGCCCCTGCACTCATGTGTACATACCCACACAGAGAGACACACATATACATAATGAAAAACTAATCTTAAAAAAGATGTTGAAGACTTTTTCATTTTTATTTTGAGACAGGATCTCACTATGTAGCCTTGGCTGGCCTGGAAACAGGCTATGTACATCAGGCTGGCCTCAAATTCAGAGATTTAAAAAAATCTTTAATTATTATGTGCACGTGTGTGTGTGTGTGTGTGTGTGTGTGTGTGTGTGTGTGTGTGTGCGTGTGTGTGAACAGTACTGTAGGTGCTCACTGAGACAGAGTATCATATCCCCTGGAGCTGAAGTTATAGATGTCTATGAACAGCCTGATAAGGTGCTGGGAACCAAACTCAGTTCCTGCTGCAAGGGAACACAAGCTCTTGCCTTTAACCACTGAGCCACCTTCACAATATTTTATAAGGTTCTCCCTCCTGGGGGTTTAACTAGGGATGTTGCGCATGCTAGGCAAGCATGCTAGCATCAAATTGTATCTCTATTTTCTTGACACAGGGTTTCTCTGTGTAGCCCTGGCTGTCCTGGAGCAGGCTCTGTAGATCAGGCTGGAGCAGGCTCTGTAGATCAGGCTGACCTTGAATTTAGAGATCTGCCTGCCTTTGCCTTCCAAGTGCTGGGATTAAAAGCGTGTGCCATCACTGCACAGCCTCTAGCTTCATTTCATTTTTGTTTGATAAGATGTAGGTAATTATTTCAGGGTTTTGTTTTTTTCCCCTAAAATTTAAGGTATGCTCTGTGATCTATAATGTGACAGATTTTAGAGACGGTTCCTTGTGCCACTAGAAGAATATGTACTCCCTATGTGTTGGATGGCATGTTCTGGAGGTAACTGTCATATCCAGTTGATCTATGGTATAATTTAGCTCTGAGGTTTTGCTGACAATATATGAGTTTGGAAGACCTATCTAAGAATGACAATAGGGTCTTAAAGTCTCCTTGTCATTACTGTGTTAGGACCTATATAGTCCTTTTAGAGCTTGCTTTATGAAATTGGGGATCCCAAGGTATTTGCAATGATTGCGTCCCTTGATGAACCGCCCAATGTATTAATAAGCACTACCTCTATCTCTTCTGAGTAGTTTTAGTTTCAAATCTATATCATCAGATATGGAAACCACTGTCCTAGCTTGTCTGTAGTTCTGTTTGCTTGGTAGTTTGATTTCTAACCTCTGGCTCGAAGTTTATCAATTGCTTTCCTAGTTAGGTGCTTTTCTTGGAGACAGGTTTTACTATGTAACCCTGATTGTTCACTTGTAACTCACAGAGATCCACCTGCCTCTGGCACCTGAGTGCTGGGGTTAACTTTTTTTTTTAATTGTTCTGGTTGCTTAGTTTTTGAAAATTCCTTTCTTTTCCCTCTAGTGGTGTTAGAGTTCTTCTCAGCTCTCCTCTGTTGGTATGTTCTTTCCCTGTGTTCTTGTGTGGGAATCTTCATTTTCTGGAATGTTGATTTAGTTGTCATGAATTGTCTTATCTTTTGTTTTGAAATATTTATCTATTTTAATAGATCATTTTGCTAGATATAGCATGTTGGTTGATGGTTAGTTACTTTCAGGACTTGAAATGTATCATTCCATGTTTTCTTGGTCTTTGGGGTTGCTGACAACAGATTAGGTGTTCTGAAATTTCTGCCCCTGGATGTTAGGCTGTATCTTGCCTTAGAGATTTTAGTATTATTTCTTTGGCTTTGTATTTTTGACACCTGGACTATAGTATGTCATGGAAAGGTCCTTCTCTGGTCATGTCCACAAGGTGCTAAATGGTTCCCTGTTTGGATATCTGCTTCTTTTTCTAGGTCTGAGAATTCCTTGGCCATATTCATTAAGTTATCTTAAATCATTTGATTTTATCTTAGCTCTTACAGTTCTTTACTGAATGAATGCAGAGTTCTTGGCAGTTTTGTCTACATTCACTAGCATTTTGTTTTGTTTTTATACATGTCTGTATTTACTGTCTCAAATTTGTCTTCCACACCCTAAGAATTGTTCTCCTGTTTAGTCTTGTCTGCTGGTGATGCTAGTTTTTTTCCTTTTGTTTTCATTTTCACTGATTGATTGATTTTTTTCACTTCCAAATTTTGATTTTCAGTGTATCAACTTCCTTGCTGAACCTTTCTTCTACATTTATAAAATTTTATTCTAAGTTATTGATTCTTTCCCTGACTTTAGTAACATTCTTATTTATGTCTCGAGTTGACTTCACAATTTTCTTGTTCAGGAATGAATGTATTTGAGGCCTCTATTTGATCATTCATCTTTTTTGTTGCTGAGAGAGGCTCTTGCTATGTATCTCTGGCTGGCATGAACTTCACTATATCAATCAAGATGGTCTTGAACTCACAGATCCACAAAATCCCTTTAGGCCAGTATTAATACTCATAGGCCTAGACATTGTACTGCCCC